TTTAATATACATTACCTGAACAGTGCAATTAAAAAATTATATCTTAATAACACATAGTTGCTATCCCAAGACTAAAACAGGATTTTCTGCCTGTGTTAGTGTTTTTCTGGCACCATGGTGATAATGTAAAAATCTGAGTATTTTTCACAAAAAATGTGGAATCTTCAAATATACTCTAACCATGCTTTCATTAAATAATTGGATGAGTTCATATCAAATGCAATGCCGACATAAGCTTGCATGGTAGCCTGGAGCGCCTACTCCCTTTCAGAGCACTTGTGTAAAAGTTCCATTCTCTTCTTTCTTGCCATTCTCTTTGCCACACTGCAGTGATATAGGCAGGTGTGTGTGTGTGTGTGTGTGTGTGTGTGTGTGTGTGTGTGTGTTGGAATCATTTTGCTAATCACTAGGATGCTTCAAAGGCACTAGAGCCGAAGAACAGACTCAGTTTATGGGAAGAAAGGGCACCAGGGAAGGGAAATCTTAGGGTAGTGGAGTATGGGAAGTCCAAATAATGTGTAAAAATAAACAGTGTGATAAGATTGGGCAGGATAAGAAAGGCTATGCTAGACTGAGGAATTTGGGCATCATTCTCAGTCAGTTGGGAGCTATTACAGGTTTTTCAGTTGTTTAATGATGTGGCCATGGCTGGGATGCATATCTCTTATTACAGTAAACTTTGATGTCTCTGTTTTCCATGCCTCCCATGTCCCTTCCATGAACAATTCTATTAGTTCTACTTGCAGAATATATCGCAGACCCAGCTTCTGTAGACAGCCTCCATTGTCACAAGGCTCACCCAAGCCACTGTTAACTCTCAATTGGGCTGCCACAGCAGCCGCTTTAGTGGCTTCTTGCTTTTATGCTTGCTTGTCATTACATTCTGCATAGCTAAGTAACTTTTACAAGTCCAAATTAATGCTATCACTGTGACCTGGCCTTGCCTCTCTCTTAAACTCATGTTCTATTCTCTCTCCTCCCTCCCTTCCTCCCTCCCTCCCTCACCATAGAGTCTCTGCATTTGCCAGTTGATCTGCCTGGAATGTTCTTTCCTCAGATTATCACATGGTTAGCTCCTTACCAAAAGAGGCCTTCTTGCTTTTAGATGTAGACGAAGCCCACCCCCAGTGACAGTCTCCATCATTTACCTGGATTCATTTTCTTCACAGCACTTATTGCTGTTGGGTGGATCTCCATACTGTTCGTAGAGTTTAATATTTATCCCCAAAGCTGCTCAACTAGATGTATGCAGGGACTTTGCTCACTTCTATATCCCCAGTGCCTGGAAGAGTCCTGGCACTTAGTACATTTTTATTGCATTACTTAATTTAGAGATTTGAACGACTAGAGCAGAAGGCTGATTGGAGCTGATTGCAGGGTTTCTTGGACAATGAAAGCACATTGAGGGTCTTGTCAGTGGGAATGAAGGGAGTGGGGCAGGCAAAAATGAGGTCACAGGGAGAGCTAACAGATAAAAGCATTTTAGAGCTTAGATAAAGCTATAGGAGCCCAGGAGAAGTTTCTGGATTTGGTGGTAAAAGGAACAGTTTTGGAGGTGCCGAGTTTGAGTGCTGCTGGGGTGGAGGTGTCCAGCACACTGTTGCATTTTGAGATTATTCACGGATTTTTTTTGTTACCTGAGAGGCATTGCTAGCAAAGTTCATGACTCAGAAGATGCTAGGGGAAGCCATATTTCCTACTCAACGATAGCATGGCTATAGCAAGTGATTGAACCTCTCTGAAGCTCAGGTTCTTCATCTGTAAATGATAATAAAATGTTTCATGGCAGGGTCATTCTGAAAATTAAACTCCTACTCTCAATGTATCATATTTCCTCCCCCGCTTTTTTAGCTTATCAGTAGGAGAGTTTATATTTGTTTACTTTAGCTATTCACATCTTAACTACATAGTATACTGTGATTCCGTTTCATTTCTTGTACAAGTCTTGTTATTATTTTTTTGGTACCAGTCAGTCTTTCATCTCCAAACTTCCCTCAAAATCTGAAACATTTTTTTCTCAATAATTTCAAACCAGCATGTATTCAGTTTATTTTTCCCTGCCCTTGGAATTACCTTTCCTGGCCTCCTCTGGCTTCATGCTCCAATTTGGACAGTTTGCTGTCTCAGTTTGCTGCATAGCTGTGCCATTGGAATCCCATTATCTTCTTTTGTTTTGGATCCTCTGCATCCAGATCTTATTTCTTCTTCATTATTTACCTCACTCCTTCATTCTGTCAATGCACAGTCATCCTGTAGCTTTCTGAGGAAGAATGCATGGGAGGTAAACTCTTTGAAACTTTGTAGCGTTTTATTCTGCTTTTATACCATATTGACCTTTTGGCTGAATATAGAATTCTAGGTTGGAAATAACTTTTCCTCAGCATTTTAGTGCCTCATAATCTTTTAGCTTCAGGTGTTGTTGAGAAATTTGATGTCATTACAATACCCTTACTTCCCATGTGATCTTTTCTTCCCATTTGAAAGTTTTTAGACCCTTCTCTCCTTCCTTAGTATCTTAACATTTCATAGTGATAAATCTTCATGGGGCTTTTTTTCATGAGCTGTACTGGGAGGTTGATGGACTTTTCAATTTGAACACTCATCTTCAATTCTTGGAAATGTTTTTGAATTATTTCTTTGAAATTTTACTCCTTTTATTTTTTCCAGTCCCTCTTTCTGAAACTCCTATTATTTGCATATTGGATAATTCTGGCCTAGTCTTATTATTTTCTTATATTTTTCACTAATTTTTCATCTGTCTTTTTAAGGTTTTTTGTTTGTTTTTTTTGAGACAGAGTCTTGCTCTTTTGCCAGGCTAGAATGCAGTGGCACAATCTCAGCTTACTGCAACCTCCGACTCCCTGGTCCAAGCAATTCTGCCTCAGCCTCCTGAGTTACTGAGATCACAGGCACACACCACCACGCCCAGTAATTTTTGTATTTTTAGTAGAAATGGGGTTTCACCATGTTGGCCAGGATGGTCTCAATCTCCTGACCTTGTGATCTGCCCGTCTCAGCCTCCCAAAGTGCTGAGATTACAAATGTGAGCCACTGTGCCAGCTTCTAATTTGTTATTGTTGTTTTACTTTTTTTCTGCTCAGTACACCTGCCCAAATTTTCTCTGTGTTACTATTTTATTTTAGTCTCTGTCTTTCCTAAAACAGAGGACTAATAAATACACCTGGTAATCCTAGATTGTCTGTGCTTTTTTAATAGTTAAATACCAACTGTTTGGTATTAACTATTTAATAAACAACAAGCTGAACTAAAAACCTTTTGTGTATGAATCATACTTGTCATCTAGAAGCCCTTATTTAGGCAAGGACATGTCTTTTCTTTTGCAGGAGGTGGGGGCGGACTCTCAAGTAGATCTTTACTCTTTAGTTGGCTGGGTTGCCAGAAAGGGATTATCCCATCACTTCTTGTAGGATATCAGCTTGATTTCTTGCATCCGAGGAGCTGGTTATTTCACTGTTTAGCATAAAGGCTTACACCTCAGCAACCTGTTTTCAGTATGCAGCCTCTTTCCTGCCCTGGGCTAATCCTGATGTTCCCAAGTCTCAACTCTCTGGTTCACCTTCTCTAGAGAATAAATACCCTGGCTTTCTCAGGGTTAGAGAGGAGTAACTTCCTTTTTGGAAAGGAACTGCAGTTCTGATCTTCTCTTCTAGATCAGAAGTTGGCAAAATTTTTCTGTAAAAGAGCCAGAGAATAAAGATTATGGGCTTTGCAGCCAATAGCATGGTCTTTGTGGCATATTCTCCTCCTTCTCTTCTTCCTCCTCCCCCCGCCCCCCTTTTTAACAACCCTTTCAAAAGTAAAGAGAGAACAAAATAATGGCGTTCTTAGTAGGACAACCTCTGGTCTAGAGGATTCTTTTGGACACTCTCAGCCAACCATCTTTTATCATCTCTACCCTGTATCCATGCCCAAGTTCCTTCAAGAGAAACTTGAAGCCTTCAATTTCTGAACGCTTTTGCATTTTAATGGCAAAACTGGCTTGGTTTCCTGTGGGTTTTCTCCACTCCAATTTCCCCCTGCCCCATGAAAACTTAGGTTTCAGCTTTCTTGGGTTTGCTATGTGAGTAACCACTTACTTGTCTTCTTACCATTTTCCAAAAGGTCAGTTTTTTCCTTGTCTGCCACTTTCTCTGCCCTTATTGGGCTATGGCTTTTTTCATCCTTTTCCATCAGTTCACTAGGATTTGGGGAGGGACGGAGAAAACTGCATGTGTTTTATATAATACGAAGTTTAACCAGAAGCTCCCACCAAATCCAATTTGGTTGGGTTTGATTATTATTACACTCTTTGACAGTGCTTGGGTTAATTTTGCATTTGTTCTCCATGTGCTCACTTGCTATGCCAGATGTTTGAAGATGATGTCCTTACGGAAGAAAAATGGGGGTTTAAAATATAATGTAATTGAAATGCTCACAGTGGTTCAGTGTGTGAGATCTCAAAGAGGCCCAACTCTTTCTAACCACCAGACTCTCATCATGGAAATTCAGTTTCACCCTTATTTGTATGAACCATCAGAAGCATTTTAAAATGTTTATAATAAAGTTTGTAGCTTATTGTTTCAAACTGCATTTAAGGTAGTAAACTGAAGCTTTTGGTGGTGTGTCCCTGACAGCAGGGAGACCCTGTGGTAAGTGATCTCTCAGAGTTGATCAAAGGGAGTCGTTGAGCATTTTTTCCTGTATTTGTGTTTTGGTCCTTTAATCTGGTAGTGTTTCCAGTTCCGTTCTGAATACAGTAATGCACACTCCCTCCTCATCTTCTTGGCAGCGTGTGGCATTTTCTTTGCGAAATGGCCCCGTTCAGGCATAAACCTCCCTTTGCCATCGAGTGTATAATGAGATATGAACAAAGGTGATTGTCAGAAAATGGGCATCTTTCAAGATCTTATTCATGCCACGTTTTTGTTTTAGTAATGAAATGAAAATTGAAAATTAAAAAAAAATTCACTGAAAAATGACTACTAGTCCTCTCTGCCTAGGTTCACCTTTCCTCGCCAGTGAAGATGGCGTGCTTGGAGGAGTGATTGTTCTCCGTTCGTGCAGATGTTCTGCTGAGCCTGACTCCTCCCAAAATAAGCAGACACTTTTAGGTAAGTGAGACATATGCACTGTGTGCATCTTTCTCTTTTATTTTTCTTCAAGAAAAAATGAAAATATCTATATCCTTAAGTCAATTTTAAACTGCGGGAGGGTCAGCATGCTTTATTGCTATCTGAACATCCCCATTCTACAGATCTTTTTCCATATGTAAACATGTAAAAGATGAATGTTTATTTTTAAGTATAGGCTTAGCGAATATCTTTCAAATAAGCTTAGAACCAAGGACCTTTACTAAAGTCCAGTAATAAGAACATTGGACCATGTATTCATGGCCTATCTTATTCCAGAAAGCATTTGAGGTGACCCATAACAAGGTACACAGTAACAGAGAGAGAAGCTTCTTCCTGTTTCCCTTCTCCGAAAGGAATGAGAAGCGTGTGAAGAGCTACTGGCCTAGAGGTCAGTCCTGCCTCTGTGGCTCGTTAGCCATGACACCTTTGTGCATTGGTCTCACTGTTCTGTGCCACTTCCTCATCTGTAAACCACGGACGTCTGCCCTGCCCTCCTCTTAAAGCTGTGGTGAGGGAGGGTCAAATGAGTGTTTTTGCAGATTTGCAGATGTCCATCCAGATGTGTGGTTTTGTTTCTAGCTAAGCACCAGTGGGGATGAAACTCAGCCTACGCCCTGTTTATGAAGGTGCAGACTTGTGGGGCTGCCGCTGACCACAGGGTTGCCTTTTTCTAATCCATCTCTCCAGAAGGGACACATTAAAAAATTCTGCATAAAGGTGACACATACACTAGCAGGGGCACCATATGTTATTTTTTAAGTTAACTTTTAACTGAAGTATACGTATATTTAGAAAAGTGTACAAATCATAACTGCAACTGCTTGATGAATTATCATAAAGTGAACCCATCCCCTGTAACCAGCACCCAGATTAAAAGAAACAGAACTTCACCACAACCCCAGAAGTCCCCTTTTGACCCTTTCTGATCTCTATCCCTTCCAGAGTTAAACAGTATGCTGACTTCTAACACCATGGTTAGTTTTACGTGGTTTTATTTATTATATAAATTGAATCAGGAATATGTATCACTTGTGTCTAGTCTTCAGTGAACGTTAAGCTTGTTAGATTCATCCATGTTACTTGCAAGTACGAGTTTGTACATTTTCATTGCTGTATTCTATTCCATTGTATGGAGATAGCTCAGTGAATTAGTCCATTCTTCTGTTGTTATTTTGTTTTGTTTTTTAATATAGCACTATAGGTCATCCACAGGGCTTATGGTAGTTTAACCCTTCCTATAAATTTCCTTACAGAAAGCATGAGTGGTGCCTGATGTATATTGTGTGATTATTGTCAATTGCTATAGTACACATCCCTTCATAGTTTATAAAATAGAAGACTGAGTGTTTTTTATGGGTATAAAAATGCTTTTTCTGTAGAAGCCCAAAACATGTTCATACAATCTTTTTGTTCATTCCTCAGAGAAAAAATATACTTTTATGTAACAGGCCTTTTTCTTCACCTAGACGCTAACTACCAGCTGTATCTTTTTTTTTTTTTTTTTTTTGCTATAGTCTCTCTGCTTCTTCCCTCTTTATGTGGTACTTAGGTTGCTCCAAGGAGATGTGTTTTTTAACAGTCATGTTTTGTTAAACCAAGACAAGTAGTAGTTTTTTCCTTTGGTAAAACTACTATTAATCATCGTTGAATCTTTTGAACATTCTTCCAGTTAGGTAGTTAAACCCAACCTGGTTGGCTTTAAATATATACAGAAGATGGACATGGGCTTTCCATAAAACATTTGCAGGGACATGGATGAAGTTGAAACCCATCATTCTTTGCAAACTAACACAGGAACAGAAAATGAAACACTGCATGTCCTCACTCATAAGTGGGAGTCGAATAATGAGATCACATGGACACAGGGAGGGAAACATCACAAACTGGGACCTGTTAGGGCATGGGGGACTAGGGGAGGGATAGCATTAGGAGAAATGCCTAATATAGATGACGGGTTGATGGGTGCAGCATATCACCATGACACGTGTATACCTATGTAACAAACCTGCATGTTCTGCACATGTATGCCAGAACTTAAAGTTTTGTTTTTTGTTTTTCCTAAAAAACCTCAGAAGAATAACCCTTAGTGTTTGGGCAGTGGTGGGTAGAGGAGCATTAAAATTACTTCATCGAGTATTCCTAGAAAGGAGTATCATAGTACTTTGCTGAGCCTGGAATCTTGCCCATTTATGTTAACCCTGAAAACTGTAAGGTCTTTCCGGTTGTGTTTTCACTTTTGGTGGTATAAAAATGCAGATTTAAGGATAAGTTATAGTATTTTAGCTCATGTTATATAGTTTTTATTACCAATGTAGTGATTTGTAAACTGGTTCCTACTGTTTATTTCAAGAGGAAGCATTAAGTGTGAAGTGCCAATTTATGAAATAAGTGAAATCTTGCCATTTGTTAACTGGAGGGGTTGACGCTTGTGAAGCTTATCTACTAAAACCTGGTGAACACAGGCTAATGTCAACTTATAGATGCTACCGATTATGTGGACTTTTTGTCACTTAAAAAAGTTATGAATGTTAAGTAAGTGGTAAGAAAATAAATTCAAGCTGTATAGAAGGACAGAAAACAAAGTAAATTCAAACAGTATAGAAGGCTAGGAATCAAAGATGTGAAAGTCACCTTTTACACTCCATTTCCAGAGCCACCAGTCATTCTTTGGTTCTGGTTAACCTCGTGGGAAGCACCCTCACTGTGTAGAATGTGCTCACACATCCATTTCTTGATTAGTCAGTAACTTGTGACCCCTTGCTGTGAAAAAATTAAAAACTTAGCTCACACCATATACCACTTCCCTTCCTTCCTGATTTTTGTTGGAATTCTACTCTAACTTGAAATAATACTTTTAATTTTATTGTACTCTAACACAGTTTCTTGATTTGGTAACTTTGTATAATGTCTATCAAACATTCTCCACCACTTCAACGATGTAAGTTGAAGAAAGTTCATGTGCTGTTTTCTGTTAGTCTGTTTTCTGTTGTTTATAACAGAATACCTAAAACTAGCAGAATACCTGAGTAATTTGTAAAGAAATTAATTTATTTCTTAAGTTGTGGAGGCTGAGAAGTCCAAGGTCAAGGGGCTGCATGTGATGAGGGCCTTCTTGCTGGTGGGGACTCTCCAGAGTCCCATAGGGGCACAGGGCATCACATGGTGAAGGGGCTGAGTGTGCTAGCTCAGGTCTCTCTTCCCTTCTTATAAAGCCACCAGCTCCAGTCCCATGATAACCCATTAATTCATGAAGGTATTAATCCATTTCATGAGGGCAGAGTTCTCATGACCTAATCACCTCTTCAAGGTCCCACATCTTAATACTGCCATATTGGGGAATAGATTTCAACCTGGATTTTGGAGGAAACATTCAGACCCTATAGTATTCACTTTTCTCCTTTTCTTTCCTCTTTCACTCCCCTACCTCACCTCAACCTCTGTAAACAATACCATTGTTGCTGTTATTATCGTTTGCCTTCTTACATCTATACTTATCTCTGTAGTTGATCAGAGGTTGATTCTAAATAGTGTCAGTAACCAGCATTGACAGTATCAAGATTATAGTATAGTATTGCCCACTGCATGCCCTGGAAGTGGAAGATCAGACCCATAAAGAGCAGTGTTTGTCATAAACCTCTGCCTATAGAAGGAGACTATTTCAGTCATTGAGATCAAGTGGATTCTCCTTTTTATCAATTGCTCCAAATCAGGCTACAACTTAATTTGCTTCATGTTTGGACCATGACTTCCCATTTATTTCTTTTTCACTGTCATGAGAGTATAACTTTATAAACTCATGGCTCCTGGATGCTCAGTAATTTCTAGTAACCAGGAAATCTCAGAAGTCTTTATTTTCTACACATCCAAATAAAGCAATTTCCAAAAAAAAAAAAGAAAAAGAAAACTTAACTACTGTATATTGTTAATCACTTTTTTGGTCCCAAGAATAATATAATCACATAATCGCCTACTATAGCCTTTTCTGTGTTCACTGTCTTTTCTCAAAATCATAATGTTCTCATTACACCACAAAAGCAGTTTCAGTCTAACCTCATTGCCACTTGATGGAGTTTCCTTGAAGCCATTATGTAGGCTCTCCTCTTGACAAATACATTGTCAGAGCCTCAGTGAGCTGCTTCCAGGGTGATAGGACTCAAGTACTGGACACTTTTGAGGTTTGTCCTTTGTCTACTGATTCATGAATAGAATAGGAAAATCTCAGGTATGAAGGAACTTTCAAAGTCTACTTGTGTGACCCTGTTCCAGGTGCTTTGTCTATAGATTGTTGAATACACCTCCCTTCAAGAGGTGGAGCTCAATTCCCCTGTCCTTGACTGCGACCCGAATACTAGAGACTCGCTTCCAACCATAAGATTATGGCAGAAGTGACAGTGTGCGATTTCTGAGACTAGGTCAAAAAGGCATTGTGGCTTCCTCCTTGGGCTTTCTGTTGAGTCACTCCCTCTGGGTGAGACCAATTGCCATGTCAGGAGGACACTCAAGCAGCACTATGGAGAAGCCCATTTCGCAAAAAACTGCAACTTCCTTCCCAACAGCTGCTTCTGAGAAACTAGGGCTTCCTGCCAACAGCCTCAGAGATCTGAGGCTTCAGATGACAGCATCTCATTGGAGGCCCTTAAAAGAGCGACCCAATGAAGCCACTGTGGAATTTCTGACCCACGGAAACTGTGAGATAATAACTGTTCGCTGTTGTAAACCACTATATTTTGGGAGAATTCATTATGTAGCAATAAATAACTAATAAACCTTTTAAGCCCTTTCTTCTAATAAGCCACAATGACAAATCAAGGTGGTCTGTTGCCATCTTCAAGCAGCTGTTGGGTTTTGGTTTTCATCAGTAGATCCTGGTTCTCTTTTTGGGGACCCTCTGGGATAAATCTGATGAGTGTCTTCTTAGATTGCAGTCTCTAATCAAGTTTCCCTGACCTCTTAAGCCTCCTCACTTCCAGCCTTTCCTT